AGAGAGAGAGAGAGAGAGAGAGAGAGAGAGAGAGAGAGAGAGAGAGAAAGAAAGAAAGAAAGAAAGAAAGAAAGAAAGAAAGAAAGAAAGAAAGAAAGAAAGAAAGAAAGAAAGAAAGAAAAAGAAAGAAAAAGAAAGAAAAAGAAAAGGAAAAGAACCTTATAACGTGCGCGAAGTTTGGAGCCTTGACTGCAGCGCTGACGTGCAATGCGCCCGAGGCCCAGCAGGGGGCGCGGGGCGGGGCTGAGGGTGCGGCTCAGAGAGGCCAGCGCCGGGCGGCGGGAACCCCGGGCAGCCCTCGCGTGCTCCGCTGGGCTCTAGTTCGGAGGGCGCGGAGTCCCGACCTCTCGAAGCCTCTTTCTCAGGTTCCGGGGCGGCAGGTGCGTGGCGAAGGGCGAGGCCGGGGTCCTGGCTGTTCCTTCGAGTGCGCTCCTCAGCCTCCACTCGCGTCGGTGCAGAGACGGTCCCACGGCGGTTCTGCTGACGTGTCTGCAAGTACTGCCCTTTAAAGATAGAAAAGAAGCACCCCAAATGGATGCGTCTGCTACCCTGAGGACTGTCCTCCTCCAGGGTGACTCTGGAGGTGGCCGGAGAGCTGCGGGGGGACAGCGGGCCCCCTGCCGCCCACCCTCCGCCCGCTCTCCCCGCTCCACGCCCGCGGCCAGCATCCCCACCCCCGGGCTCCAAGCCCCTTCAAGGGGGACACTGAAGCCGGAGAGAGGCGGACACAAGCGCTGGAGGGACAGAGCCTGGGGCTCAGGCCTCGACCTGGAAGGGAGAGGAGGGGGGCAGCAAGCGCAGGTGGCGACGGAGCCTCAGAGGAACACGCGTGGGGGGGGGCCGAACCCGCACACCAACGTCGCACACCAACCGAACACCACGTCCCCGCACCCGACCCCGCACCGGTCCGCGCACCCGACCCCGCACCGGTCCCCCACATCTGTCCCCCGCTGTGCGCCATGGGGCCCGCGGCGGGCGTCCCTAGGGGGAATAGGGACAACTACGGGACGTGGGATCTCGGTGACGGTCATAGGAGGACGTTAGTAAAACCGTAAACCACCATTCTAAATACCGCACCCAAAGGGTTGTAGTATTTTTATTACCGTGAACTCAGTCAACGAAGCGGAAAAGCCAGCGGCGGCCTAGGCGGAGGATCGGGAAGTAGAATCGGTCTCAGAAACAGTCTGAGAGCAGGACCCCTTCTTCTCTACACGGAAAGAAAAGTAGTTGTTCGGTGACCAGTGCTCCTGACGCAGGCTTTTAAAAATCCCGGTTGTAGCAATAGCCAAACTGTGGAAAGAGCCAAGATGTCCATCAACAGATGAATGGATCAAGAAGATGTGGTGTATATATATATATATATCTACATATATATATATATATACACACATGTATACACACACACACACACACACACACACACACTGGAATATTATGCAGCCATCAAAAGGAATGAGATCTTGCCATTTGCAATGACGTGGATGGAACTGGGGGGTGTTATGCTGAGTGAAATAAATCAATCAGAGAAAGACATGTATCATATGACCTCACTGATATGAGGAATTCTTAATCTCAGGAAACAAACTGAGGGTTGCTGGAGTGGTGGGGGGTGGGAGGGATGGGGTGGCTGGGTGATAGACATTGGGGAGGGTATGTGCTATGGTGAGCGCTGTGAATTGTGCAAGACTGTTGAATCACAGGTCTGTACCTCTGAAACAAATAATGTGATATATGTTAAGAAAAAAAAGAAAAAGATAGCAGGAGGGGAAGAATGAAGGGGAGTAAGTCGGAGGGGGAGACGAACCATGAGAGACGATGGACTCTGAGAAACAAACTGAGGGTTCTAGAGGGGAGGGGGGTGGGGGGATGGGTTAGCCTGGTGATGGGTATTAAAGAGGGCACGTTCTGCGTGGAGCACTGGGTATTATGCACAAACAATGAATCATGGATCACTACATCAAAAACTAATGATGTAATGTATGGTGATTAACATAACAATAAAAAAGTTAAAGGAAAAAAAAATTCCGGTTGTAGGTGCGACCACAAGCTAGTTTCTGCGCGCTCAGCCTCACGTTTCACCAGCAGAAAAACGGACCTGGCAAGAGGCGGAGGGAGAGGAGCGACGGGGCAGTCCCTGAGCCACAGGCCTTGTTGGCGCCGCCAAGCCGCCCGGGGTTTAAAGCCTGCACGGAAAGTGAACCTGGTACCCGGAGCATTTAATTCTACCCCAGACACCCGGAAAGGAGTTGGAGTTGGTGATCTCAGGGCCGCTCTCACTTCCCCCTGCACTTCTGCTGCAGATATTTCTCCTCTTCTCCACCCCCAGTCCCTCAGCACTAACTCTGAGTTGTACACATTTGCTGTTTTAATCTTTTTCTTGATAAAATAATATATGCTAATTGCAGAAAAACTGAGGGCGTCTGGGTGGCTCAGTTGGTTAAGCCTCGGACTCTTGGTTTCGGCTGAGGTCATGATCTCAGGGTCCTGGGATCCAGCCCCGCATTGGGCTCTGCGCTCAGTGCGGAGTCTGCTTGAGAGTCTCTCCCTCTCCCTCTGCCCCTCCAGCTCATGTTCTCTCTCTCTCAAATAAATAAATCGATCTTAATTTTTTTTTTTGAGGCTCAGGGGAAAGGTACAAAGAGGAGGAAAGGCTTACCTGTAATCCCTTTACCTAGGGTTCACTGCACATAACAGGTTAGTGTTCTTCCCTTGCTCTAGTGTGCCTATGCATTTTTTAAAGATAAAATTCACGTATCATAACACCTTTTAAAGTACAATTCAGTCATTTTTAGGATATTCATGAATTTAACTGCCACCACTATCTAATTCCAGAACAAGTCATCAATCCAAAAAGAAACCCTGTACCCATACCAGTCACTCCCCATGGCCCCCTCCCAAACTGAACTGTGTCTATGGATTTGCCTATTCTGGACATGGCATATACGTGGCCTTTGTTTCTGGTTCTTTAAATTTGGCATGTTTCCAAGTTTTCTGCATGTTGTGGAGTGTCCCAGTGCCCCACTCCTTTTGATGGCCAAGTAATATTCCATTTTGTGGGTCTACTGTGTTTCTTTGATCCATCCCTCAGTTGATAGACATTTGGGTTGTTTCCACTGTTTCAGTATTATAAATAATGCTTCTGTTAACATTCATGTACAAGTTTTGTTTTCAGTTCTCTTTGGGCACATACCCAGGAGTGGGATCCCTGAGTCCTATGGTAATTCTATATTTAACTTTGTCAGGAACTTTCAAACTGTTTTCCAAGACAGCTGCTCCATTTTACATTCCCACCAGCAAGACCTGAGTGTTCCAATTTTTCCACATCCTCTCCAACATGTGCTATTACCCTATAAAAAAAAATTACAGTTATCCTAGTAGGTGTGAAATGCTGTCCCATTGTGGTTTTCATTTGCATTTTCCTGGTGACTAATAAGTTTGGGCATCTTTTCATCAGCTTATGCGCCATTTGTAGATCTTTGGAGAAATGTGTTTTCAAATCTTCTGTCCATTTTTAAATTGTGTTGTCTTTTTATTGTTGACTTGTAAGAGTTCTTTGTGTATTCTAGATATTAGAGCCTTATCAGACGTATGATTTGCAAATATTTTCTCCTATTCTGTGATTTTTTGAATTTTTAAAAGATTTTATTTATTTATTTATTTATTTGTTTGTTTGTTTGTTTGTCAGGGAGAGAGAGTGAGCACAAGCAGGGGGAGCGGACGCAGGGCTCAATCCCAGGACGCTGGGATCAAGACCTGAGCGGAAGGCAGACGCTTAACCAGCTGAGCCACCCAGGTGTCCCTGTCTTTGAATTTCTTGATAGTGTCCTTTGGAGCACGAAAGTTTTAATTTTAAGAGCTTTAGTTCTTTGATCCATTTTGAGTTAGTTTTTGCATATGATATGAAGGAGGGCTCCAACTTTATTTATTTATTTATTTATTTGTTTTATTTAATTTTTGCATCTGGCTATCCAGTTGTCCCAGCACCATTTGTTAAAAAGAGTATTCTCAGGGCGCCTTCACTTGTATGTGTTTATTTACCAAAACGTGCATAAACCTGACCTCATTCACCAACACAAAACGTACAACCAGGACACACACCTACACACACACACAAGGCCTTGGAGGAGGCTGTCAAGTACTCTGAAGGACAGGAAGGAATGAACACAGCTGGGTGGACTTTTGGTTTCACTTGCAGAGGTTTGGGAAGGACTCTGGTCCCACACACCCGGGAGGGTAGAAGGATGAGAAAGACAATAAATAGAATCCTGGGCCCAGCCTGCTTTGGTACATTACAGGTATAGCCCTGTGCATGGCCCCGGCAGCACCTGGCCCTTAACGACACCAGGAGCCAGGAGGACAGAGCCTGAGCGGCTGGTGTAGGCAGGTCAGACGTGCAGCCAGAGGCCCCCTCCAAACAGCCCCCAGCGCCCCATAAAGCAAGAGGTAAGATTAGACCAGGCTCTGCAGACCCTAGCTGTTCATGTCTGAAGAAATGGTCTTTTTCCTTGTCCGAACCTTCAGGGAGCGTGAGGAGGTGCCCTCCCGCACTGGTGGCTTCCTCTTGACCACAGGCAGGCTCTGGCTGCGGCCCAGAGGCTTCTCTCGGGGCCGGCTGGGTGGCTGGGGAACTGCCTCTGTGTCTGACCAACACTCATCGTCGGTGTCGCTGTCTAGCTGGCCCCCTGCTCAGTACCCAATGGGTAGCCTGCGGCGAGGTACTTGGTCCTCCAGGTAGAGGGGATCCTGGTAGGCGGGGGCAAGGGCATCAGGGATGGAGCACAGGTCCTGCATGGAGAAGCTTCGCAGCCTTCCGGCCAGTGCACCCTGACTCTTGGTGGCAGCCTGCACAGTGGCTGAAGCAGCAATGTTGAGGCTCCATTTCCCAAAGATGAGCACCGTCTCATAGCTGCGCTCCTTGGCCTGCACGATGCAGGTGTCAATCTCGTTCTCATGGCAGGACAAGGATGGGTGGACAAACTTGTGGTGAAGCAGGCTGGCCCCTTTGGTGTAAGGTGATAGCAACCACAGCACAAAGGCCATTTTGATCTCGTAGTAGAAAGGGAACCGGGGAATAAAGATGTCTGTGAAGGTCTCCACAGCCATGAACAGTGCAAAGGCTATCCAGTACATCAGCCACCGGACATATTCACGAATGTTCTTGGTCTTCACAGCCTTGTGGGAAGCATAAGCTGGGTACAGCATCCCAAACACCAACACCACCAGGCAACAGATCATCCAGGACACCAACCTGCAGCCTTGGGACGGAGGGGGAACCCCCACAAAAAGATGACCAGGGGGACGCTCACGCGGGGCTGGGAGGGGGTAATCAGTGGAAGTGTGGGAAGCAGAGGGGCGCTCGGGCTGCCCCTTGGCAGAGGTGGAGCCCGCCGCCCCCTAACTCCACAGTACGCAGAGCCTGAGGAGTGGGGAGACCCATGGGCTGAGGCGAGGAGGCCGGGGCTTGGAGGAAGCAGCTTGGGAGCTGGTAAGGGCGGCTTTTAGAAGGGCGCCCTGCTTGTGTTCTCTCTCTTACTGTGTCTCTGTCAAATAAATAAATAAAATCTTTAAGAAAAAAAAAAAAGAAAGGAAAGAGTATTCTCTCTCCACTGAATTGTCCTGGCATTCTTGTTGCAAATTAATTGCCCGTAAGTGTATGGGTTTATTTCTGGACTCTGAATTCTATTCCATTGATCTATAAATCTATCCTATGCCAGAACCACACTCTTGATTACTGTAGCTTTGTAGTTAATTTTGAAATAGTGAAGAATTTGTCCTTCAATTTTGTTCTTTCTTGAGTATATTTTGGCTATTCTGGGCCCCTTGAATTTCCATATGAATTTTAGGATCGGCTTGTCAATTTATGCAAAAAAGCCAGCTGGGATTTTGATGGAGATTGTATGGAATCTGGAGACCAATTTGGACGGTAATGTGACCTAAAACATCAGTAAGTCTTCCCATCCATGAACACAGGCATCTTTCCATTTATTTAGATCTTCCTTAATTTCTTTCAATTTGTAGTTTTCATGTACAAGTCTTACATTTCCTTTATTAAATTCTTAAGTGTTTTATTCCTTCTGATGCTATTACATATGGATTTTTAACACAGATGAGCCCTTACTATATAGGTACCATTTTGTATCTGCTTTTTTCACTTTAATTATATCATAGATACTTCCAAGTTATTCAGTCCTTCTTCAGCAACCTTTTTTAAGGCTACATATTAGTCCATTGTACAGTTACACTAATTTATTTAGCCTTTCTCCTTTCGTGGGATATTTTGGTTCTTTACAATTTCTCCATTTTTAAATATTACTGTAATTTCTATGCATCTTGCTGTCAGCGTATCAGATCGTGTACATAGTCACGTGCGCTTGCTCTGTCCTAATGGCCTCTATTCCCACTCTTGTGAGGGGGCCTGAGAACCATGCAACTTGGAACTCCTTGAGGCCCATTTCTCTTGCGATCCCATACAACCCCGGGGCCGGGCCTGCACCCTCAAGGGGGATCCTTCAGAAAGCTCCTCCCGGGGGCCCTGCACTGGGGCCCCAGCACTGTCCTAACCTGGCCGGAGCTCTCAGTGACATAAATCCTTGGTAACTTGTTATATCCCCACAAGATTGTGAGGTCCAACAGGACAAAGGCTGGACATTTTTATACCTCCAGCCCTTGGTCTACAGAAGACCCTTAACAAATGCCTCTGGATGAGTGAGTCAGGCAGAGCAAGGAGTTCACGACCCTAGGTCACACTAGGAAACTTGAGTCAGAGAACTGTGGCCACTAGGCCTGTGGCGTGGCTGCAAAGTGTGCCACACACAAACTGTTAGCTGGAAAGGGCCCTTGAGGTTGCCTCATCCCGGAGCTTCCAAACCTCTGCCATGACCACAGTATGATACCTGGCCTTGGATAGGTAGAGGGGACACAGAGATGGAAGGGGACATGGTGGAAGCTGAAGCCGGGTCTGTGGAATTCCCTCAGCAGCCCGAAATACCACAGTAAGGCCAAGTTTGTAAAAATGATTGAACTAGCCCAATAGTCTAATTTTACAGACCAGGGAAAGAGTGCTCGTGAGAAGTGACTTGTTCAAGGTCTCACAATCAGTGGCGAATGGGAAAAGGACTCAGATGTGACTCCCATTCACAGAAAGTTCCCCTACTGAAATAGCCTCTGAGGAGTACCTTCCAAGCATCCCATATCGCTGGTGCCTCTAGAATTCCACAAAGCAAGATCCATCGTTTAAACCAGTGTCCCCATGTAGCATATATATATATTTTTTTTAAATAATTTATTCTGCCCTCATTTTTTTAAAATTTTTATTTATTTGACAGAGAGAGAGACAGCGAGAGAGGGAACACAAGCAGGGGGAGTGGGAGAGGGAGAAGCAGGCTTCCCGTGGAGCAGGGAGCCCGATGTGGGGCTCGATCCCAGGACCCCGGGATCATGACCTGAGCCAAAGGCAGATAGATGCTCAACGACTGAGCCACCTAGGCGCCCCGCCATGTAGCATATATTAAAAAAGTAAAGTTAGGGACGCCTGGGTGGCTCAGTTGCTTAAGCCTCAGACTCTTGATCTGGGCTCAGGTCATGATCTCAGGGTGGGGAGATGGGAGCCCAAGGCTGCCAGCACTGGGCGTGGAGTGTGCTTGAGATTCTCTCTCTCCCTCTGCCCCCCCTAAAAATAAATTAACTAATAAAAGTAAATTTTACAGAAAATTTTGATGAAGATGAGTGTGATAAACTGAGCAATGCGACAAAGCTTTACCGGGAAATGCTGGTTTTTCTCTTTGTGGTTCCTGGGGAGGTGCGCGCTTGAGTTACCGTAAATACTGAGATAGGGAGGTGGGCGGGGGGGGGGGGGCGGTCAAGTTTTAGTTCTTGGGTGGTTGGGCGAGGGAGGCCTAGGCACAGTTTGTGTGGATGGGGCATGGGCAACTTCTCTGCAGTTAGCGAAGTTTGCTCAGAGGAGCCTCAAACCTACCAGGCAAGCGCAAGGTCCCCAGCCCCGCGCGCGATCCGGGATCCGCATCTAGCTCCGTGCCCCCCCCCCCGCGCCCTCCAGCCCCACGCAGCGTCTCTACGGCCCTGGCCAGAGCAGGTGCTCCCGGAGTCAGGGCGCGCGTCTTCCGCATCTTCGCATCAACAGTTCCAACGGGGCAGGTGCCCGCACAGTGTTTGGTGAACCTACTGAAACCTCCCAACGACTGTCCCCGCGGCTGAGTATTCATCCCTGCAAACCACCCCCGAGGGGATCCTCCCTCGCCGCCCCTACACCCCGCTCGGGCCGCCGCTGCGCGCTGCCCGGGGCTTCCTTCCCCATCTCTGGGTCTGGGACTAGCGCAGCATCACAGCGAAAGCCGCTCTCGGCGTGCCGAGGCCCTCGGCCGCCCGGGGGCTGCAGGCTGGCCGGAAGTAGAACCCCGCCGAAGGCCCGAAAACGGACGCGCGCGGACGAGTTTCCGCTGCAACAGTGCAATCCAGAGAGCCTCCCCCACACCGGGACTCCTGGGCGGCCTGCGCCTCTATGGTATCGGCAGCCTAGAGGGACCGACCCCGAACTTCCGGGAACATGGCGGCGCGCAGGCCGGAGGACGCACGTGTTCGCGCGTAGAGGGCTCCGCGGTGCCGGTAAGCAGCTGCGGCCCCCCGGACGGTGGCAGTCGGAGACCGGGCTCAGGAGTGAAGGTGGGAGCAGCACAGTAGCCTTGCCGGGTGGAACTGCGGCAGGAGGGCTGCATTTAGACCTAACGAGGCCAGGGACATAGCGGCTCTTTGGAACCGCTGTCAGAAGAGTGGCCCCGGGCGGCTTTAACATTAGAAAGCTGAGGTTGACCGGAGAGGAAGTGGTTCCGGAAAGCGCGCTCGCAGCCTTCACGAGACTGCGGCGCACAGCCTGGGGCCTCGTTGCTTCTGTCCACAGTTACCATTGTCAGTAGGTTAAAGCACCCGTGTCATAGCGACTGAGCGCATTCTCACTCCTGCATTAAGTGCGTGGGGGTCCTGAATAAAGCCCGACTCCGATTTCCAGGGCGTGTAGTTTCGAATGAGTGCGGTGGTAAACCTTAGGTCAGGAAACACAGAGCTGTAAGAGGCCGAGGGGTAATGAAGAACACCAGTGCCTGGGATGCCTGAGAGCCTGGGTCCGCTACTTGCCAGCTATTGGATTTGGGCAAGGAATAAACTTCTCTGCGATTTGTTTGCAAATGTCGGTAATAACACTTCCAAATAGGCTGTCGGGAGGATGAAATAGGATGATCTGTGTAAAGCAATTAGCAGGCTGGCATCGAGTAAATGACTTAGTGTTAGATGTTATTGTTGTTATTAAAATCTGGGGGCTGATAGATCAGAGGTAACTTCCGGGAGGAGGCCGGGTTTTTGTTTTTTTGTTTTTTTTAAAAGATTTTATTTATTTATTTGAGAGAGAGAGAATGAGAGAGAGCACGAGAGGGGAGAGGGTCAGAGGGAGAAGCAGACTCCCTGCCGAGCAGGGAGCCCGATGCGGGACTCGATCCCGGGACTCCAGGATCATGACCTGAGCCAAAGGCAGTCGCCCAACCAACTGAGCCACCCAGGCGCCCAGGAGGCCGGGTTTTGAGGTGGTCTTAAAGGCCCCAGTGTTTGAATTTTACTTTTCTTACAAATTCAAGAAGCAAGATAGAGCCATTTCTTCACTTAGTGCTTTTCTGTCAGGACTCTCAAGGTATCACGTTTTCAGGGCGCCTGGGTGGCTCAGTCGTTGAGCGTCTGCCTTCGGCTCAGGTCATGGTCCCGGCGTCCTGGGATTGAGCCCCGCATCGGGCTCCCTGCTGGGCCGGAGGCCTGCTTCTCCCTCTCCCACTCCCCCTGCTTGTGTTCCCTCTCTCGCTCGCTCTCTCTGTCAAATAAATAAATAAAATCTTAAAAAAAAAAAAAGGTATCACGTTTTCAGGTAATCATCCCTCACAGTAGAAATGTGAACAGAAATGTAAGTCGTCCTGAATTTGCTACTCTTCAGTCTCAGAGCCCGGTATTGTGACCCGATCGGAAGGCAGACACTTAACCGACTGAGCCACCCAGGCGCCTTATAATAAATTATCTTAATCCAAGTTAACTTTAGTGAGCTAAGTCAGCAGTGGTAGTCTTAGTTTTGTGTGTCTTGTGTGATAAGCCAGCTTAACCATTTCAGAGGCAGATTTGTATGTAAGTTGGATAATGCCATTCTGGGCTCCAAAAGGCGGAGCATCTGCATGACCATAAAGAAATGCAAGTAGTAACTGATAGGGTACAAAGAGGCCACTTCGGAGGCAGGCAGCCTGGGCTTGTATTTCAGTTCCATCTCTTATTAGCTACGTGACCCAGGCCAGGCTTTCTTTTCTTTGTTTGTAAATTAAAGATAATAGCTGTCCACAGGACGATCGGGATTAAATAAGACAATACAACAGTATGTGTAATCAACCTGTTATGCATGAAATGCTCAGTAAGGGTGCCGTTCCTAAGCTGGACAGTTTCAAAAGGGGTGTTGTTCCAGCAAGGCTGAAGAGCGGCAGTGGGGAAGAGGTGCGGAGCCCCCACACTTGAGAGGATAGAGTGCTGGAGCATGGGTGTAAGACATGGGCTCCATTGAGTATTCTCATAACTCAGGTTGAAAACCCCTTACCTCTTTGTTTCTACGGGGCATTGAATCTCGGGAGCTGTACCACGTGGTGGTAAAGAGTGGGACTGTACAGACAAGCCGTCTGGTTGAGTTCTTACACATATTAGCTGTGTGACCCAGAGCAAGTCACGTTTCCTCATTTGCTTTCCTGAATGGAACGTTAGGAACTCCTCCTGAGCTGGGAGAATTAAATGAAATAATCATGTGGTGAGCTCTCCGTAAATTTAGGTGTTATTAACAACACCAGTCCTCCTTGACTTTTGGACATGCTGATGATCTCTCCGTGGTCAGACAGGGAGCTCCCCCAAAGACCAACCTCCTTCGTCTCTGCCTCAGGTTCAGAAAAGAATTTTTATGACAGCAGTCAGGATGGAGCTGATGGGTAATTTGGGCACTTTCTCCTTTTCTCTTAAAAGGACGATGACAGTGTCACCTTCTGTGGTGAGGGCTTGCGGATTGGGACTCCTCTCTCACCATGAGCATCACCCCAGAGGTCAAGAGTCGTGGGATGAAGTTTGCTGAGGAGCAGCTGCGAAAGCATGGATGGACGCAAGGTCATCCCCGGGGGGGGGCCCTTCCACATCCCCCCAGCTCCCTGCCCACCTAGTGCCCAGGGGAGTAACGTCATGCTGGGCTACCTGTATGTAGCCCATTCAGCTGGAGGAGGAAAAGACAGTGTAAAGGGAAATTTGTGGAAGAAACTGTCTGACTTTTCCAGAAAATGGGCGAGTGGAAGAAATTTGACAGTGGGTCGTGAGAAAGAAGTGTTTGGGAGGACTGGGGGAGGGAGGAAGGGTCATGACTTCTGTCCTGTAAGAATCATGAAGGAGAAGATGGCTCGGGCTCAGACAAAGGCAGGGACACTGCATGGACAGGCACCAGAAGGAGGGGGCTGGAGGGCATCCCCCAGGGACGGTGTAGGCCCAACGCTCGGTGTGCGGTGTGGCAAGGAGTGGCACGTGCTGGTGCCTCTGAGGGCCTGGGGCAGGCAGGAGAATAAACCACATCGCTCGTTGCCCTCCAGGCAAAGGTCTGGGCCGGAAGGAGAATGGCATCACCCAGGCCCTCAAGGTGACACTGAAGCAGGACACTCACGGGGTAAGACTGGGCAGGCGGAGGGAGGTCAGTGTGGATGGAGAGGGGGGCCCCAGGGACAGGGCAGGGACAGGCCCTTGGAGTTCATACTTCTTCCCCTGGCAGGTGGGACATGACCCTGCCAGGGAGTTCACAGACCACTGGTGGAACGAGCTCTTCAACAAGGCTGCGGCCAGCTTGGTTGTGGAAGCTGGGCAGGTATGGGGTGCTGACTGATGGGCGTGTGGACCATGAGGGCCTGGGACGTGTGGGGTGAGGGGCACACCCACGTCACCCACTCACTGATACCCCCCCACAGGATGGAGTACGGCTAAGGCATCTTTCTAAGGAGACCACCGGCCGTAATCATCCCAAGCCCAACATGCTGTATCAGAAGTTTGTGAAGGTATTAGGGGCTGGGGCTGGGAGGGCCCGTCCTTTTTCCTTCTCTGGCCTCTCCCAGGGCCTGAACAATTGCTTCATCTGCCTTACCCCTTCATACCTATTCTAGGACCATCCTAACATTGTCAGATCCTGTGAGCAGCTTCGCTGTCGCTTGCTTAGAGTGCCCAGACCCTTGGGCAGAATGAGACGTTCAGGTCCCATGGGTCTGGGGGTGGGGGGTGGGGCACGGGCAGGCGCCGCCAGAGCAGAGCGGGAGGGGAGGTCCGGTGCAAGGGACTTAGAATCCAGAGGAGACCTGACGGATTACCTGACCCATCCTCTGTTTTGCAGTTGTGGCCACAAGCAGGGAAGAGTGGCTTGCAGGCAGGACTAGAATCCCAGTCTTCAGACTCGCGCTCTCTAGCGCAACAGCAGAAGGGAGGTCACATTCAGTGACCATCTGTTACGTGCTAAGGGCGCTCCGTGTTCTGTAGCAAGCTTTTCCCATTTCTCCTCGCCTCTGTGGCCATCGCCCTCTCCTGCTGGATTTCGTTCACAGCCGCCTACTGTCTCACTCCCCATCTGTCAGCTCACCGCCACAGCTGCCAGAGTGCTCTCTGACACATTTCACTGGGGCTCTGGCTCGCCCCTGACCGAGGCTGACCGTCCCGACATGTCAGACTGGCTCACAGGGCCCTGAGCCCACTCTTGGGGCCTCTACACTTGTAGCCAGATGGGATCGGGTTCTTTTGAAGGTACCACCTTCCTTCACCTGCAGGTTTTTGCACATGCTCTTCCTGCTGCCTGCCTGCAGCATTCTGCTGCCTTTCTCCCTTTACCTGTCCACTTTTGGTGGTCTTCTGGAGCAGAGTTCCTGAAACGTCCCCAAACCCTGAAGTCTGATCAGTACCCCTCTTCCAGCACAGGCGACACTTTATGACTGCCCGTGTTCTGTCATCCTCCCTTGACCCCACGTGTAGATTCCATCTGGGCTGACCGGTCTTGTTCCCGTTCTACTCTGTATCCCAACCCATCGGCCCATAGTAGGTTCTCAGTCTGCTTAGATACAAGCACTGCGGTCGGTGTGGGGGAGGGCGGTGAGAAGCACCACGGGATGACCACCAGGGGACACCAGGAGGACCTGATGACCCGGAGCACTTCCCCATCCCTTCTTGGTCTGCCCACTGATGCCCCCCCCGCCGCCCCACAGCTGCAGTCCACCTCTGTGGGTCTGCAGGGAGCTGTGTCGGGGGTGGCAAACTTCTGCCTGTGGCTACCAGTTCCTCAGGGGGCTTTCGGGAGGGAAGAGGGGTTGGCAGTGGTGTTGAGTGGGCTTTGTCTCCCTCCTTCTAGGCGGCCACACTGACTTCAGGTGGGGAGAAGCCAGACAAGGACTGGGAGAGCCACAGTGAAGACGACAGCCGGGGGCGCAAACCTCCAAAGATGTGAGACTCACTTTAGGGCTGGGGTGTGTGGGAGGAGAGGCCTTTGAATCTCAAGAGAAGGGACCAAGTCTCAGGCCTGACTGGGCTTCTTCAGGTGGAACCGTGTTGTACTAATCTTTGCTTCTCCTGCACCTAGAAAGTGCCAGGTCCTGAAAGGAAGCTCAGTGTCGAAGGGATGTTTTAGAGAGCAGGAGAGGTCAGGCCTTTGCACGAGTTGTTTGTGATCTCTGATCTCCCCCCAACAGTCTGACCGATGAGATGCTGCTCCAAGCCTGTGAGGGGCGCACAGCACACAAGTAAGTAGTGGTTAGCTCCTTGGGCTCTCTTTCCTCCCCGTCACAAGCCCTCGAGGCTGGTCTGTGCCCCTTCTGTACGCTTCTCCCGCCAGGGGAAGGATTCCCCGCCACACACATACCAGTGTCACCTGCCACTGCAAAGGACTAGGCCTGTTTTCCCCGTACCTTGCTCTGACCTGGGCCCCCCCCGCCCCCCGCCGTTTCAGGGCCGCTCGTCTTGGGATCACGATGAAGGCTAAGCTTGCCCGGTTGGAGGCCCAGGAGCAGGCCTTCCTGGCTCGTCTCAAAGGACAGGACCCTGGGACCCCTCAGTTGCAGTCTGAGAGCAAGCTCCCCAAAAAAAAGAAAAAGAAAAGGAAGCAAAGAGAGGAGAGAAAGGCTGCAGCAGCCGCCGGGAGTGCAGAAGAGCGGCCGGGAGGTGCGGGCCAGGCCGGCGGGGGCAGCAGGAGGAAGACGAGACAGAAGCCAGAAGCAGCGGTGGCAGATGAGTGGGAGGGAGTGGCTGTCGGGGACGCGGACGGAGAGGCCGCAGGAATGGGTGGAGCGGGAGAGCGGGAGAGCAGGGAGCAAGCCGCCCCGCCCCGCGGGAAGACGAAGAAGAGGCAGCAGCGCGCAGAGACGGCCGTCCCGGACGGAGGGGCAGGAGGCCAGGAGGCTGCGGCCAGGGCCGGGACGGGGCAGGGGGAGAGTCGGGCACGCGCCAAGCCCTGCCGCAGACGCAAGAGGTGGCGGCAGCGGGAGGAGGGCGTCTTAAACACAGAAGCAGCAGTGGCGGGGGCTGCTGCAGATGGTGGGGCTGGGGAAGCAGCAAGCAGAGTGCACCGTGAGGGGAAAAGCAAGAAGACAAGACGGAGGTCCCGGGAAGAGGAGCAGGATGTGAGGGATGAAGGGGATGAGGGCGGCGGGAGTAGGGAGGCGGAGAGCGGGTTGCACACCGGCTCGAGCAGCACAGATAAGGGGTGGCAGCAGGCAGGGGCTGGAGTCGGCCCCGACCAGAGAGCAAGAAAGAAGAAACAGAAGACGGCCTGAAGGTCAGGTCAAGGTGGGACTCCACGGACTCCTTTGGAAGAGTTGAAGCCTCAGACCTGAGTCGACAGGGTCTCCTGCACCCTTGCAGTGAGGAGCCCCTCCCGAGGAGGAAGCTGACCTCTGAACTCCAGCTGCACAGAGGTGGGTGTGGACAGAGAGCAGGAGTTCAGGTGCCCGTGGGAGCCAGGCAGTGGCGGGACGCAGACACCCTCTGGAGGGACATGCCACCTGCAAACGCGGCCGGTGTGAGACGGCATCCAGCCCACAGGCCGCCAGCCCCAGCCTTAGAGTAAACGATTCAACATCAGCTCGGGCTCCCAGCCTGTGTGTAAGTCCTGACTGGCATCTCCACTCCCGGCCTGGGAACATCCCAAATACACACTAGTTTCCTTGGATGCCTCCAAAGAAATTCCTTCAGTTAACCTCCCATAGTCTTGCTGCCCGTTGAGGGGAAGGGGAAGGCTCAGAGAACCTCACTTGAGAGCTTTTTTCCACGTCTGAAAATGGTTTTCATTTGCCCAAATGTCACAGCCGCCCCCCCTTGCCCGTTCTGTTCTCCTGGAGAGGTAGCGCTGTGTCTGCCGTGTTGCTCCCTGGCTCCTGCCCACCCCTTAACCTTTATTGCCAGGAAAGCTCCCAGGACTCCGTAGCTCGGGAGAGGGGCACTAAGTCTTTATTGGGAGGAAAGCACACCCCTCTTCCCTCACTGCAGACGGTAGACACACTCAGTGTCGGGGTAGGGCGGCAGATTCAGCTGGTACTTCTGTTCCAGAGCAGGTGGCACAAAACGACCTCCTAGGTAGTGGTAGCGACCGGTGAACTGGGTGGCAGACTTTTTGGGTGCTGTCAGAGAGATGAGCAAGTCTGGCTGGATCCCTCCGGAGTTCCCCTTCTCCACATCCCATCCTGGAAAGAGGGTGGTTTTTAGGAAGAGAGGAAGAAGTCTACTTCTCTTCCATACCCTGCTCTACCCTAGTCCTGAAGGAATGGGAGGCCCTCTGTGTCCCCTCCCGAGGAACTTGCATCCTCGAAGCTCCACGTACTCCTGGGCTTTGGTCTCTTGGATCCAACATATAACGGCAGTCCTGAACTCTGCTCCCTGGCCCTTTTGTGGAATCCATAAAGCTGTGTTCTGCCCCTCTAGACTCAACTTACTTTAAGCTTGGTCTGAGCCTTGGGTCGACAACGAGGACTCCTAGGTACCTGTTTCAAGATAGGGCAGGGTCCCAGCCCCAACCCCCCCACCCCCAACTTCCTTGGACCCAACACCTGAGGGAATGTCGATGCTTGCAATGGGCACCGTGAGCCCATTCAGGACATCCAGGATGCCACGGAACGGCTCCCGAACATCGCCTTTGAAGCTGAAGCCAAAGATGGCATCCACGACCAGCTCGTACAATTCGTCGATCAGCATGGGCTGTGATGGGGCAGAAGGAGGGGAAAGCATGTCAGAGCCAGCAGCTGCACAGACGTCCCTTAATAAGAGACAACGATCCTTTGCACACGCCACTCGCAGAGGCACAAATATCATTTCATCTCATTCAGAGGAAATGTCTAGGCATTCTGGGGCCGAGACTTCAATGCAGGTTGGTCACTGATTTAGGGCAAGCTGAGTCCAGACACGCTTTCTGTTCCGAGTGCCTGCCTGCCACTGGGGAGGTACAGTGTGGGACTCCTGCCTAAGGCTGGAAGTTAGGACAAGCCACTTGCCTTCTCTGCACCATCCCAGTCTATGTGTAGAATGTGTTAAACTTAAAAACAAAGTTCTCATTTCCCATCCTTAAATCCCTGTCCCTGCAGAAAGGGCTCAGGATGAGGCAGTCATTTCAGCCCCTGAGAGGAGTGGCTAGCGTGTTTACTGCCTACAGGAACAGGTCCTGACCTCAGGGAGAAAGGAGTGACTGTGGAAGTGAAGGGGGCAGGGGGTCCCCCCTACTCACACAGCACAGTTCAGGCACTCCCCCCGCAACTGTTAAAAGAGTCCACCCTCCAGAGAGGAAGATCAGCAAGTGAGCTCGGCCCGAGAACACGAGGAAGAGCAGGACACAGGCGGTGGTTGGGGGAGGAGGAGGGCACCCCCACTGGAGCCACCTACCTCTGGGGGCATTTCACCAAGGAAAGGGATGTCCATTTTCTGACACTGGGTCACCAGGGCGGTGAAGAGTGGCTTGTTCGGCCTTTTGGGATAATAAATGGTTGGCTGGTAGCCCTAGAGGAAAGCAGAGTGGTCGTCCAAGCCGGGATCCCGGAAGCCCCGCCGCCCCCGCCCCCGCCCCCGCCCCCATACTCACGAAGAGTTTGAGGTGCCGCGCACACACCAGGCCGTCTCCTCCGTTATTCCCGGGCCCGCAGATGACCAGGACCGCGGGGGGGTTCCGGGACATGGACGTGGGGGGGTAGGCCTGGAGGCGGGGCCAGAGGGCAGTCAGAGGGGCTCTGGGCGGCCCCGGGCCACCCTGGCCCGCTGTCCCCGCCACTCGTCTGTGCCCGGGCCACTGACCTTAGCAATGGCTGTGGCGCAGCTCAGCCCAGCCAGCTCCATGAGCTGATCCACGCTGAACTGGTACTCGTTAAACAGCTCCTCGTCCACGGCCTGGGCCTCCTCCTGGCTGCGGACACCCACAGCCTCAGTCCCGGCGCCCTGCGCGCCGCGCGTCCCAGCTCCCGCCCCCGAGCGAGCCCGTCCAGGCCTCGCCTACCTCAGGTACTTCACTGCCGGGCTCGCCATGCCCGCCGGCTCCCCGGGGCCGCCCGAGTGCGGCCGCCGCGTCCCCCACCACGCGGGCCCCGCGCGGCAGGAGCCGGTCTGGCCCGGGACGCGCCGCAGCTGCGAGCCCGCGGCCAGCAACCCGAAACCCAGCAGCGCCCGCAGCGCGGACATGGAGCTCGCCCGGCGCATGTGCGGCGCCCGCTCCGCCCCCCTGAAGGCGGGGTCGCGGCCTCGCCCCGCCCATTCGCGAGAGCGCGGACGCCGGGCCGCGCATTCCGGGGGGCGGGGGCCCTCGCTGCCGGTCACGTGGGTGGTAGTAGTTCCTCGGGCGCGATTGACCCCTTCGCGGGCCTGATGGCGGGGCGGGCCGCCCGGGCTCCTGGCCTGGCACTTCGCGGCTGAATGGACGGGGGCACCCCTGGTCTCGGCGTCCTGCGAGCACGCGATTCACGGGTGCCCGCGCTTGCAGAGCCGGCCCAGCGCCCGCGAGCAACGCGCGGGAGCGGAGCTCGCGTCTCGTTTACGCTGCCGGCGGTTCCGCGCTCAGGCTGGGGCGCTCCCGGTGCAGGGTCCATACTGGAGGGACGAGCGGGAGCGGGGCGGGGAGAGGAGGGGTGGCTTTATTCAGGAAGCGGGCGACCTGGGAACAGGGTGGACGAACACCTCAAAGCCCATCTTCTTCTTCTTTTTTTTAAAGATTTTATTTTTTGACAGAGAGAGACAGCGAGAGAGGGAACACAAGCAGGGGGAGTGGGAGAGGGAGAAGCAGGCTTCCCTGCTGAGCATGGTGGGGCGCCTGGCTGGCTCAGTGGGAGGAGCATGCGGCTGGTGATCTCCAGGTCATGAATTTGAGCCCCACCTTGGGTGTAGAGATTACTTTTGTTTATTTTTTTTTAACGATTTTTACTTTTAACTCACAACCCTGAGATCAAGAGTCACACGCTCTTTGGACTGAGCCAGCCAGGCGCCCCTAGGTAGCTTTACTTACATATATTTATTAGTCAGGATTCCCTATAGACCTATTAATTTGGAGAGATTCTGAAGATTCTTTTTTTTTTAACTTTATTTATTTAAGTAATCTCTACACCCAACATTTGGCTTGAACTCACGACCCCGAGATCAAGAGCCATACACTTTTCTGACTGAGCCATCCAGGCACCCCCTGAAGATTCATTTCTAAAACACAATGTGAAGCATGTTCTTTGAGCATGTGCCACATGCTAGCATGAATCAGCTCATTTTATCCTTGTGGCAACCGTGTTGTTATTCTCATTTTACGGAGGAGGAAACTAAGGCTCCAAGATGTTGACTCGCATGCCCAATGATACAGTGATAGCTGTCCGTGGAGCTAGGATCCAAGCAGCTTGAGCTAGAAAGCAGCATTCCGAAAGGTACTGCCTTCTGCAAGTGCAGAAATAGGTAAAGCATGGTCACTGCTGACCTCCTTCTGATGAGATGTAAGAATAAAATAGTGACACACACATACCCCACCACATGCCCCCAGAAGTTATAAGACAACCACCGGAGGGCTGTCTCCAGGAAGGTGGAGCTGAAGACCTACTCCATCTTATCACTGCCTTTCAGACTTGTAGAGTTTCTTTGGGAAATGCCTTTAAAACCAATTTAGGAAGGACATAGGGATCGAGCCCCTGCTGAATTCCAGATGCTTACATATTTCATCGTGTCAATCCTATGACGTAGTTTTATCCTCACATTATAGCACAGAGAGGTAATTTTCCGAAGATCAAATAGCTATTAAATGGTAGAGCCAGGGACGGTTGATACGGAGTTGGCCTGACCCAGTGGCAATATTCCCATGTGGTAGGTGCTGCTACCTGTTCCTCAAAATCCATTCTCTTCCTTTGGCAACGGAACCCCTGAGTTGTATCTGGCGGCGTGGCTGCCCAGCCAAACACTACATTTCCCACTCTCCCTTGCAGCAGCAAGGCACCTGCATGTGACTACACGCTGGCCAATGAGGGCTGAGCAGAGATGATGTGCAACTTGCAGGGTCCTCCCTTTGAAAAAAGGCTTGTTTGCCTGTACTTCCCCTTTCCCTCTTCCCGGCTGGAAGGAAGGCGCTCCGCCGTGGGCGGGCAGCCATTTTAGACCAGGGTGTGGGAATCCTGTGTCAAGGACGGCAGAGCGCCCTGCGGACTCCCCGGGCTCCGTGAGCCGGGGCTGCTTTCATGAGAGAGGAACAGAGCTGTCTCTGCTTAAAGGCAGGGTTACGTTGGCCTCTCTTACAGCAGGTGAACCTGCATCCCAGTCAAGACATTTTGAATGCCTGACAAGATGCTAATAAGGAAGGTGAGCAGCTGCGTCCCCCCCTCCGCCCCCCCCCCCCGGCTGCCAGTTCCGTGCTCGGCACATGCTAGGTCCTCAAAATCTCAGGGTGAAGTGGTTCACGGTGTAGTAGAAGCCCTCTTCTACTATGGAGAATGGGGTATCTTATTTCAACTTAAATAAAAAATGCATCCATTTGCCATCTGTCAAAGTGTGGCCAGGGTCTTCTCTTTGAGCCCGGGGCTGGAGCTCTCCATCCTTCCTCGTGAACCTCATTAGGGGTCACCTGCGATTTCCATTTTGCTTCCTTGAGGTGGAACAGTTAATGGTGTGTTTGAAGCAATCCAAGTGCAAAAATTCATCTAGATTTTTACTATTTTGCCCCAAAATGTGATAATCGCCTTGCTCACATCTAATTTAACAGTTTTTGAATTGACTCACCTTAATCAAGACTTCCAAGGATTCAACTTCGTTTTCATACAAACAGTGCCTGTTTTCACACTTAGTTCATCAATTTATGTAATATTTAATCAAATCACGAACTACAAGAACGCATACACCCAGCATAAGCACATTTGGTACCAACACAATCGACTCCTGGTAAGCATTAGCGTAAGTGGGGTAGCAGGGCTGCACGGCATTCTAGAAGGTGCTCCCTGCCCGGGTTTGAATCCCGGCTTCTCCACTTACTAGTTGTGTGGCCGGGGAGGACACACTCGTTTTCCTCGTCTGTGAAAGGGGCTCATCTGCTGTGAGGACTGCAGGAGAAAACACTTGGGAAGCGCTCAGAGCAGAGTGGTGTGCGCTGAGTGATTAGCACATCTTACAAAATGTGGCCGCTGACAGCAGCGACCGACAGGCCTGAGGGGCTGCCTCCCCAACCCGCGACTTTCATGGAGGCGGTGGAGTCCGTCAGTGGGCTAAGATGTGTCCTCTGTAGTTTAGATCCCCATTTCCCCTTTGAGAAGATGGAGGTCTGGAGACAGTCCGTGATGGCAGCCTCCTGACCAAGATGTCACAGCTTTTAACCGACTGAGCCACCCAGGTGCCCCCCCCCCTTTTTTTTTTTAAGATTTTATTTATTTATTTGACAGAGAGAGAGAGAGATGTCACAGCTTTTAGAACTGGAAAGGGCCTCGGCAATCATGAGGTGTGGATCCAGAAGGAAGAAAGGGAAATTCACTGTCCGTTTTCCCCTTTTTCTTTTGCCCGTTGAGTCCAAAACTCCCAACAAGGAGCAAACTGAACACCTCAGCGCCCAGACTGCAAAGGCCCTGTTCAGCCGACATAGGAGGGCACGTGGTGGTGGTGTTCCATTCTGTGTCCATAGGGCACTGAACAACCGGGAGGAGGCTTGATCCCAGAAACCCCTAATGTTTGTGTGTTGGGGGGGTCACACAGAGGCCATATTCAGGGCCAGCAGAGTGGGGTCACATGATCACACAGAAGCCAGACTCCGTGGGTCTCCTCTGAGGGTTTCTGCAAGGGGTTTCCCTGGGCCAGCTGGACGACCTGTGGGAGGCAGGGAGGGGCTTGCCAGTGGGGTGGCTGGGGAGAGAGCAGAGGGCAGCCTGCTCTCGCTGCAGGTCCTGTTGCCCTCCCTGGCCCTCATCTCGGCTGCTGGGCCCCAGGGCAGGAGAGGGAGGCTTGAGCGCACGCTCCCACCCCTGGCCCTGTTCAGTTCAGCAGGATTCTCCCTCTCTGGGAGGCCTCCAGTCAGGCTGTGCAGGAGACAGCGGACGCCACAGGCTTCCAGAGCTGGGTGAGCATTGTTCATATCGTTCAAGGCCAAAGACAGAGAGGCTCCAAACACTAGACCCACAAGTACTGGGCCACATCTTGCCCTGGTTTGAACGGTGATCATGATCATGTTCCATTAAAACCATCCAAAGCCACGTTCCCTCCCACTTCTTTTATCCATCCTCAAGGCCTCCCCCCCCAGGGACCCACCTATTGGCTTTGGGGCCACCTGGTACCGGAATGCCAGGTTGCTCCATTTGGAGGGGGCCTTGGCCTCCCAGCAGGAGATGGGCCCCAGGTCCTGGACCTGGATGGAGAGAGACAGTCACATTTATCACAGGCCTCTCCGCACCAAGAACCACACGGTGGAAAGAGAAAGCTTGGGAGAAGAGCAAGGACGGCGGGTGCCGGGATGCGTGCCCTGGTCACTGACACGGAGGTTGCGCCAAAGCCAACACTCTGTACCGGACAGGTGTTTAACTGCAACTCTCTGCTGCCCGGAGACGAACACACTATAGACCAAACAGGGAATTCCAGTCTGAATAGCCAGTAGCCAGGGGCTCTGCCCCCAGAGGTTGAAGCCTCTGGGGGGAGCTGGTAAACAGTGAGCTAGGGCAAGATCAGCACCCAGTACCTGGCAGTAGGCTCTCAATAAAACTTGGTGCTCTAAGATGCACAGTTCTAGAGGCTAAGAAAGCCGTGCGAACCAGGAGGAGAGGTGACTGTGGAAGGGTTCAGGGAAACCGGCCAGGGTCTCAAGACCTGAACGTACACTCGCGGATACACCCCTAAGCCGGTTCCCTTTGCTCCCCACCATTCCCAGACTTCAGCGCTGGGGAGGTCCCAGGCTCCAGGTGCCGCCAGGCCCCCAGCCAGGGCGGGAAGGGGCAGAGCAGAAGTGCTGCGCAGGTGAGTGGGGCTCCAGGGTGGGGGGGGGTACACACTGGAGGTGTGCAGCCAGCGGGTGGGAGAGGGCTGGTCGGCCCCCGGGGGCAGACCGGGGCAGGGGCCTCCAGAAGGTGTTGGGGGAACGCTCCCATTTTCAGGGAGGAGATGCACAGTTGGGGTTGGCCTGCTCCCACTCACACTCCAGTCTCTGTGCCCAAGACACCATGGGGACATGGGGTGGCGGCTGGTCCTCTCTCTCCTCCTGGCCCTCCATGCACTCTTCTTCTTCCCACACACGCGAAGACCTAGAGGGGCGGGGAGCAGGGGACAGAGCGGCACTGGGCCAGCCACCTCCTCCCTGGGGTACCCACAGGCCCCAACCCCCCCCCCGCTGGCTGCACGCCTCCAGCGGGGTCCCCCCCCCCACCCTGGAGCCCCAGCCCCACCCCCACTCACCTGCGCAGCACTTCTGCTCTGCCCCTTCCCACCCTGGCTGGGGGCCTGGTGGCACCTGGAGCCTGGGGCCTCCCCAGTGCTGAAGTCTGGGAGTGGTGGGGAGCAAAGGGAACCGGCTTAGGGGTGTATCCGCGAGTGTATGTTCTCTGCACAGGCTATGGCCCCACAGAGACACAGAAGTGCTGTGGGCAGCCTGGGGCGTGCCACCCATCTGAGAGTGGAAAGCTGTGGTGAGGTCTCTGCTAGTGACTCTCAGGTTAGAACCAGGCTCCCGACTATCAGGCCTGGCCAGAGCCCAGCCTCCACCCCACCCTGCCTGGGGCCTCCACGGGCAAAGTCCCAGAAAGTTGGTGGCCGCCAGTCCTCTGCCTGGACCAGACTAATTTAATTTTGCTCACAAATTATAAATACAGTGTCCTGGTCTTTAAGAGAAGACATAAACCCCATTAAATAAGTAGAATAAATATTAAAGTATAATTTTAATTCCTGGGTGGGGGGTTGGTTGCCTGAGGGTATCTCAGGGTGTGAGGCACAGGACCTGCAGAGAGGCTGGGAGGCAGAGAGAGGCTGGGGGGAGCCAGAGAGGGAGGGGGCGGTGGAGACCCACGGAGAAGTGCCCCCAGCCAGGGCGGCCAGAAGAGGAACCTCGCTGGAGCACTGCCCCCACCCTGTGGCCTTTTGGAGAACTGCAGCCAAGGACTGGCCGGTTTCCGCCTCCTCCGAGCGGTAGGGCTCAGCATCCTTGATTGCATCTCTGTGTTCAGCTGCTGGGCTTGTTACCACCCAGGCAAAGGCCTGGCACAGCCTAGCGCTGGGAGACAGGCCAGAATCCCCTGCCCACCTTCCCACCCCCGGTGTCCTCGGAAAAGTGATCTGTGTCCCCTACGCGGGCTCAGGGGCAGATGAACACACGGGCCAGTGCAGCATCCCTGAGGGGTCACCTCTCCACACCCCCAGCTCCCTGTCTGAGGGGTCACCTCACCGGGGTGTACGTGGGGACAAGCCCAGCCTGGGCCAAGTGGGTCCTCATGGCGTCTGCCAGCTTGGCCACCAGCCGGTCCCGCACAGAGTCTGGCTCCTCCTGGGGAGAGGGTGGATAATGAGGGGATGGGGAAGGTCTGGGCTAAGCGGTCCTCTGGGATTAGGGAAGCAAGAAACTGGAGAGGGAGGAGGGAAGGGGGCTTTGTCTTCCTTTCTTTTCTACGCCATCCCCGTGCCCTTGTCAGGATCCTGCTACCACCTGCCCAGAACTGCGAAGAGACAAGCTCTTCCTCACAACAGTGTGCCCGATGCGTGTTTGGTGTGTGGATGGAAGGCAAGAAGGCAGAAGGCAGGACAGTCAACAGAGGAGGCCTCCTGGAAGCGTGGTGGGAAGAGTTAGGTTCTGGGATGGGGGGG